TAGGAAACAAAATAAAGGCTGCCTTCAATCCATTCAATAAATATCCATCTGATTATCTTCTGTTGGTTGGTCGGCCTTGGTGAGATGTTCGCACAAGTAGTTGCTTTAGTTACCCATTCTGTCAGCTTAATTCTTGACGGGAGGAACTGTACTATATTATCTTTTCTCTGTTGGTCGGCCTTGGTGAGATGTTCGCACAAGTAGTTGCTTTAGTTACCCATTCTGTCAGCTTAATTCTTGACGGGAGGATGTCACTGTACTATGTAATCGCAATCGGTTACACTTCTCGTCTTGGTTCTAGATACGGATTGCCATCCTTGGAATTACTGAGCACTGTGCGAGACCTTCGGTGTAAACCGGATCGGGTCTTGCGTGCCTACATTAGTTTGTTCCTGCGTCATTTGTGCGAGCCAGAGACAACTACATCTGATACCTTCAGTGATGGCGTTCCTCGTGAGGGGATCGCTCCACAGCATGTTCTCAGTCGGATCGGAATCATGGCGCTGGTGGCAAAAAAGGTGGGTGAAGAGTTGGAGGATTTTTTTAAACAAATCATTTTATCTTAAGGAGGTCCGGGCCGAAATCAACGCCATGTGGTGTGTAGTAAGCAGTTTTTTAATTATAAACTCAAAACAACGTAGTGGTATAGGTTGTTGCGGCAAAATCTAATAGACCCGGAAGACAAAAAACAGGACTATACTACTTGCTCAACTTAGAACTTATCCAAATACTTAAGCAGTGTGTTAAAGCCGTAAGTGGTAAATCACGTGAATGACTCCTTTGATTTTGCCAGTATCATCCAATCTACACAAATCAAGGACGATGAAGTAGCAGTCAGCTTTGATGTGACAGCTGTTCATACTAGCGTATCACTTAACGACTGTTTCTGTCTTATCTTGTGTGACGACTTACCTCTGGCACAGAGAAGGGCCTTAACCCCTGCTGATGTCATTACTGGTGTTGAACTGTGTCTAAGCACCACATATTTCGCTTTTCAAAGCACGCTGTACAGACAAACTGACAGTGTCGCTATGGGCTCTCCAGTATCACCCATTGTGACTGATCTCTTTCTTACACCATATTGAAACTAAGGTCTTGCGTGAATTCGCCCATCCACCACGCACCTGGTTGAGATATGTTGACGACATATTTACGGTCATATCAACGGCAAGTCTTTCTGAACTGCTTGAGTGGGCGATGCAGCAGTACACAATTCACGATTGGAACTGACAACGAGCAGAGTACCGTTAGTTTTCTGGACTGTAAGCTCTCCGTTAACGCCAACCGCGGATTCTCAGTGGGAATCCAGGGAAAACCTACACATTCAGACGGGCATTTGCTCTACGAGTCTTCGCATCCACACTACGTCAAACGCGCAGTTGTCGGATCGCCGACGAATCACATCAAGAAGCAATGCTCGGACGAATCCATACGAGCACACGAACTGGCGCGACTCAGTAGGGTATACAGTAAAATAACTGCCCCATGAGGCTCATTGCCCAACAAATGGGAAGAACGTTACACGGAACGATGAGATAGGAAGACAAACCCGATGGTCACCGTGGGAATACCCTATAGAGTTGGCAATTCAGTTCACACACACCCACGCACGCGGACCCAATCTGACTGGCAGCTAATCACAGGGATGCACCATAAGACACGGTAGCGGACCCGAATGTCTGTGCATTTGAGTTATATTCAGTGGATTGTAGAAAGGTCGACCGAAACGTCGGATTACGACAAACTAACCCGCTACGCTGTGTTTTGACTTTATAATTAAAACTCCTTGAAATAATCTTATTGTTGGGTGTTTTTTAGTAACTTTGGAGGTCACTTTGGATGCATTCTTTTTCAGTTGTGTATTTCACATCTCTGCTTAGGTAAAAGAGTTTGAACGCATCAACGGTCGCTGGAGTATTCCCGAACTGAAGCCCAAGTGTCGTGCGTTAGATGACTGCGATGACGAAGAATATATGGGTACCGAACCCGCTCTAACATCTGAACAGTCTCCCGCTGATCTTGCGGTTGATAAACCAGGAGAGGTTATGGACAGGTCGAACGAAATCCCTCAGGCGAGAGCATTCGCGGCTGAGAAACCTAAGTCGACCGATGAAGCCACGGATGACTCTTCAAAGGTCAGTGACGTAACGGAACCGATGGAATTGGATGAGACCAAGCCAGTATCCAAGTCCGCGCGATCGAGCAAAAGTGACGGAACGACTGATCTATCGGTTAGTCTAATAATTTTTGTACTGTCTATAAGTTGCTCACTGCGGGCATCTGCTTTCAATACAATTATGCAGGAACCCAAAAAATGGAATCCTTTTGAGACTGTATACGGACGGATTTTCCGACCTACATTCAATACCTACAAACTGCGTGCAGAGTGATGGGGTTTCGAAATCCTATTTGACTCCAACGGAGTGCACTCTGCGAATTATTCCCAGCACGGCTCCTTGATTTTCCAGCATATTTTAGACTTCCCTCACATGATGAGGTACACAAGCTAAATTGCCACATAACGTAGCCCACTTTTTGATTCCAGGCGCTAGAGAATAATAGAGAGAAAATAGGGAATAATAATCAATATTCTATGTCTTGTTCTGTTAGGCAGTTTTATGTTACAGAAGTCGCGCCACGACCCATTGTCTAGTACAAGTATGCACGTGTCGAAAAAATTTGTGGGATTTGGATAGGGGTGGAAAGAGCTCGTGGTTTTCTACTGGGCAAATAGAACTTTATAAAGGTAAACCCATTCTTCGCAAGCAATGAGAACAGCTAACCAAGCAATCCAAAGTGAGGGTTATATATATAGTGTATGTGAAGATTTGAGACATTTCGAAGTCAGGGATTCAATCAACAGTGTCAATGATAGAACCGACTTGCTATTTTGACATCTGAGAGATTTTCGTGTTGCAGGTCCTTATGGATTTGTAAAATTCACACCCAAACCACTCGTTTGAACAGTGCTCCTGTCCTGGCGCAATCAGCATTGCATATACTTGGCCGTTACGCAATTCGAACCCCGGACATCTAACGCGATGGGAGACGCTGGCAGGTTCCAAGCGTTCGTGACACTACCTGACAGGTGGACAAGCCAGTTCAACTATATACACTGCTGATGAGCGGTAATTAGGGGGGGGGGACTCGATTCCCTCTGGTGTGGACCCAGCAGAATAACTCCACCAGGAAAACAGGACTGCTTAGGCGAGAGCGATGTAATTGTATTGGCTGCAGCGTAGAGCCTCGTCTTTACGGGCGAACCTACACGGTTTGGAAGGGCAGCGGTCAACAGCACTGCGTTCCGTTGTAAGCATTGAATCAGGAGTGTTGCCTGTCGCAGTACCAACAAGTCAAACTTCTGAATAGTGGAAACACGACACGGTGGCTTTCCAGGTGACGTCTATAAGTGGCAAAAAGGTGCTAATATGCCGCTGATTGTGCTGCTTGGGTCAGACAATATCTATTGTTTGTTCTCATTCGGTAGGCTGTTTGCTCAGTCATCCAGGCGTAAGGGAAGTTGTATGTTAGTGACTTTCTGTTCTGGAGCTCCTATAGTGCAGTGAAGCGGGGTGAATAAGGGTCCGACAAACACATAAGAGGGAAGCAAGCGTTCGTGATGAGCGGTGTGCTCGGTTTCGCAACGACGCATTACGTGTGCCTATGGAAGTGGACTTTAATGTCGTTTTTGCCATCACTGGCCACGTTCGTCCGCTCGAACCGCCCATTTTACATCCTACCGAATCTCCAAGACGCTGGTTGGGACATGAGCCCATCAGTAACCAAATTTAGAAGGACTTTGAAGATTCGACTAGTAAATTTGTATCAATTTGGTGTTCACTGGGGCTTACCTGGAATCCAACTGACTCTCATTTATTGTGTTATTGTCTTATCTATGTGGAACCTAGTCCATGCTCTTCCGTCGTCAGTTGTGAATTGCACAGGTCTTACTGTGCTTCCCGCCACCACGGCATTCTGAATGGTGATGAATGACTTGAGAACGGAAAGCTGCGCACGGAGTTAGAACAGGGCTGTAATCTGTCTACCCAACACTGACCGGACGCTGGTTACCGAGGTGATGTGATCCGTGTGTCAGCACAGTTTGGTCGCGATAAACCACTACCTTTGTGGAGCAAGCCTCGGTATCCTATTTTCATTTTCCCTTACAATGTGGGGGTCAGTTTTGTGAACATAGTTTACTCAAACCTGGTCTATCCATGAAAGGTGATAATTTTATAGTTCTGGCTGTGTTCTGCATATGGCATCTGTTACCCTCTTCTGAAGGTTTTCACCAGTGTACATGAACTTTTAGATCCCCGACGAGGACGCAGCCCAGTCTCAATCTCCTCAGAAGGAAACTACCGAAACCAATAAACCTGCAGAGAAGGAGAATACGAATGAGTCCGAAACAGCCAAACCCCATCCATTCATGTTTAATATCGCTGATGGTGGTTTTACGGAGCTCCACACGATTTGGTTGAATGAGCAACGTGCATTGGTGAAAGATCGGGAGGCAGAAATATGGCATCGCCGCCACGATTACTGGCTCCTGGCTGGAGTAGTTAAACATGGTTATGGGCGTTGGCAGGTGGGTAGCAGTTTTGGTTAATGCACCAGTTGTTAATTAGCTGACCTGTTACGATTGTTTCGGTGAACAGCTTGCCCTGTCACCGCGTTTTTAGTAGCCTACATGGTTTCCCACACACGACACGGTGGCTTTCCAGGTGACGTCTATAAGTGGCAAAAAGGTGCTAATATGCCGCTGATTGTGCTGCTTGGGTCAGACAATATCTATTGTTTGTTCTCATTCGGTAGGCTGTTTGCTCAGTCATCCAGGCGTAAGGGAAGTTGTATGTTAGTGACTTTCTGTTCTGGAGCTCCTATAGTGCAGTGAAGCGGGGTGAATAAGGGTCCGACAAACACATAAGAGGGAAGCAAGCGTTCGTGATGAGCGGTGTGCTCGGTTTCGCAACGACGCATTACGTGTGCCTATGGAAGTGGACTTTAATGTCGTTTTTGCCATCACTGGCCACGTTCGTCCGCTCGAACCGCCCATTTTACATCCTACCGAATCTCCAAGACGCTGGTTGGGACATGAGCCCATCAGTAACCAAATTTAGAAGGACTTTGAAGATTCGACTAGTAAATTTGTATCAATTTGGTGTTCACTGGGGCTTACCTGGAATCCAACTGACTCTCATTTATTGTGTTATTGTCTTATCTATGTGGAACCTAGTCCATGCTCTTCCGTCGTCAGTTGTGAATTGCACAGGTCTTACTGTGCCACCACGGCATTCTGAATGGTGATGAATGACTTGAGAACGGAAAGCTGCGCACGGAGTTAGAACAGGGCTGTAATCTGTCTACCCAACACTGACCGGACGCTGGTTACCGAGGTGATGTGATCCGTGTGTCAGCACAGTTTGGTCGCGATAAACCACTACCTTTGTGGAGCAAGCCTCGGTATCCTATTTTCATTTTCCCTTACAATGTGGGGGTCAGTTTTGTGAACATAGTTTACTCAAACCTGGTCTATCCATGAAAGGTGATAATTTTATAGTTCTGGCTGTGTTCTGCATATGGCATCTGTTACCCTCTTCTGAAGGTTTTCACCAGTGTACATGAACTTTTAGATCCCCGACGAGGACGCAGCCCAGTCTCAATCTCCTCAGAAGGAAACTACCGAAACCAATAAACCTGCAGAGAAGGAGAATACGAATGAGTCCGAAACAGCCAAACCCCATCCATTCATGTTTAATATCGCTGATGGTGGTTTTACGGAGCTCCACACGATTTGGTTGAATGAGCAACGTGCATTGGTGAAAGATCGGGAGGCAGAAATATGGCATCGCCGCCACGATTACTGGCTCCTGGCTGGAGTAGTTAAACATGGTTATGGGCGTTGGCAGGTGGGTAGCAGTTTTGGTTAATGCACCAGTTGTTAATTAGCTGACCTGTTACGATTGTTTCGGTGAACAGCTTGCCCTGTCACCGCGTTTTTAGTAGCCTACATGGTTTCCCACCTGAACACTTTTTATTCTTACGTAGTGGCAACAACTCGAAGCCATTTGGGCTCTATTACACCCGCAACTTCCACATGAATTGCACCCACAGTGCGCACTTATCTGCCAGCTTCGTGGTTCCTACTGAAACACATTGATTCCCAAAACCATCCATCCTGGATCCATCTTATAAAAAAAGAAGCCCAAATCTCCTGGGATAGTTGAAGGCACTGGTGGCGCCACTTGATATACCTAAAAATGGAGGCGAGTCTATCGTCGTGCTACAGTTTGTGCGCCGTTGCAACCCACTGAGCTATACAAGGATAGGTTTTCCTACTGTGTTAGTCAATGGATATAGGTTCGGCAATCAATCTGTTTACTCATCTCCTTGCAAATGCAAATGTCACCCTCGAACACAAAGTCTAACGGCGCTGCAGATCTTGCTTGTGAAACTCTATGAAGTTTGAATTCATGTACCCACTTGCCAGTGTTCTCAATGGGCGACGCGTGCGACCGAGCTGAAACTAATCCAAGGCAGGGTTGCAAAGTGTGGCAAGGAAGAGATTGGTGCAGCTTCAAACAGAGCTATTTCGTGTGCTTTATTCCCCATACCCCCAGGTAGACAAATCCCCTCCCTATATGGCCCACTGTCTTGCGGGTCAGAGTGAAACATTTCCAACGACCTTCAGTTCGGCCTAGTCTACTCGCTTTCACAACTCCATCGATGTCCTTCCCTGCTTACTCCTCCCACTGACAAATGCCATTCGGTCACTCAGCTGTTGGACCCGCTGTTCACTGGAGTTGACCGAAATAACGAATCTGGTCAACACAATACCTTTCAGCATTTGTATTCGATGTCGGATAGGCCAACAAGTCTCTCACTCGAACTTCAATATCTTGACGTCAAAACACTACCTCAAAAAACGGCGGCAAAATCCTCATCTGCTAATTTGCCTTATGATACCTTGTTGTCTTCCATAAACCACACACACTTACTTCGAACTTCAATGCATTGTGATCGTTGTTTATGATTTTCTGAACAACGAAAACAATCCGTAAGAATGCACTTAGAAAACACGTTTTCAGATTCAGTCAGGGATGATAGCAATAGGTTTCTTCGCCTTGCTTGGATGTATGAAAACGCAAAACAATGTCAAAATGCGGTTTGGAAGTCTTCTCCATCGAGTGGCTATTCCATAAAAGTCTGTAGAGGAAAGCAATCCAACCCAGGGATTTGGATGATTGTCTACAGCTCTCCTGGGGTAGATGGTACAACGCAAACTACCAGATATTTCAATGAGATTGTGGATCACAGATGTGAAAAATACGGTGCTCTCATTGCATGATTTGCAACCGGACGGCAAACATCTCCCAAATGTTCCACTTTTCACCTAGGGCAGTTCAAGTATCTCGTGAAAATGACCATCTTCTGGAGCGAATCATTGCATAGAGTGTGATTCACTGTCGCGCGTAAGTAAGAACTAGTGCAATCATCACCCTCAATGTCGTTATGTTATTTCGCTCTTTCGTAAGTTGAATAGTTTTACGATCACGCTAAGGTTGCGTAAGATTTCACCCCAGATGGGGCTTCTATTATACGCACACAAAAAGAATTCGGATCGTCGAAAAGCACCAGTTTCAGTTAGTTTCGGTGAAGCGTAGTTTTGTAAATGTCGGTTGCATTCCTTTAGTTCTGCCTTAGGTGATAGGGCTGAAGGCAAATTTTTCTCATTTTTGTTTCTTACTTCGCTAATCTTATCATACTAAAGGAACTAATTGACGAACTAGTCTGGTATTGCATGTCCATTTACGAATCAAAATAAAACCGGACATTTTGAGGCTCCATGATGGCTCTTCTCTCATTCCAGGACATCCATAATGACCCGCATTTTCTAATAGTCAACGAACCATTCCGGAGCGAGGCACAGAAGCCAAATTATCTAGAAATAAAAAATCGCTTCCTTGCGCGGCGGTTCAAGCTGCTGGAACAAGCACTAATAATCGAAGAACAGTTGCGGCGTGCTGCACAGTTAAATATTCCATCAGACCCGACGGACCACGTGCAAAATTTAAATCGCCGGTTCTGTGAACTTGAATGCATGGCGACCGGACAACAACAGCTTTTCAACGACGCACTGGCGGGGAACAAATCACTGGTCCCACTCCTCCTGAAAGGTAAGTTTTGAAGTCATCACTTCACTTACCAGTTTTTCGGGTTTTGGCACAAGCTACTGATTGTATTGTCTATTGTACTGCCCTAGTCACCCGGTAGATTCTTAGATAACTTGACAGTTTGTCCAATGTGTCTCCTGTTGAACCTCAAAGACTGGGTGAAGATGTGCCCAATGAATTAAGATTTAGCGCCGTGTTGATAATGTTTAAATCACCAACTATTTTTCTCCTGCTGCGGGCGCGTCGGTGCAGTCCCAAATACTTCCCTAATTAGGTGTTCATTTGTGTACATGTGAAGTAATTTGTCGGTATCGACGCAATACTCAGCTGGGTAACATGTTTCTATCGTTAATTACGGTCCAGCATGTGATAAGCATGCTATTCGACCAAACGGGTTTTAAAGGTTGGACAGACGTTGATTGAAGTTCAGGAAGTGCACCCATTTGACAAGTCTCGAGCAGGGCGAAAATGATAGCTGATCGCCGGCAGTTGTTTTGCCAATCCCCCCTTGCGGGAGAAAATTGCTTTTCTTTAATATTAGCCAAAGTGAGCTCGACGACTCTGCGATTGCTCCCGGGTGGACCATCCATATTTTTTATTACTGGCATTCTGTCCGCAGGCCTAGAATGAGCGGTCCTCCTGACGGGCTTTACGGAAGAGCATTTCTATTTAGTGAGATGCCGGGTTCTGCAGGCCCAAGAGTTTCGCGCACCTGTGTATTACTTTATCCATTTGTATTGTTTTACACCACACCCATCGTGAATTGCATTAGCTATCGAGCTTTGTCTTCCGTACCAACACTTTAGTTCTCACTGCGATGGAAGACCTGCTGGCTGATATGAAACAGGATGTGACTCGCCTGGTCAGCCTCCTTCCGCGAATGCTTCCAGTTTCACAAAGACTACACCTGAGTCACACCGGTCTGTTATCCAAATTGACTCAACCGTCAGTGAAGCAACCAGAAGAGGCCACTATCGCCGCCACCAACCCTGAAACAACAGTTAATCGGTGAAACATACGCGGGCTATTTGTACAGTTTCTCTCCTTACTCTTGTTTTTACCACTCGTACATCGCCAAACTCATCGTGCTGTGTTGTGTCATTAAAAAAAACAGTGTGTACCTTTCAGCTGTTTTCCTTTACCGAAAACTGAGATAGGGTTGGAAAACAATTAGGATTTCATAGATACTATAGTCAAATAGCGCGCACGTACATTGTCGTTCATGATTTAAAACAGCGTCTTAGAAAAGTAACAAGGCATATTTGAATACAAAGCACCCAGGTCGTATAAACTATGAAGAATAGATTCAGATTAGTGTCAGCAACAGCGAGTGATGAAAACAAAAGCAACGAAGAAATGCGGTGATTTGAGTTTAGGCAACTCGCAACTAACAGAATGTGCGTTTCCGCGAAAGCCACACCCGTCTGGGCAAATGCGAAAGCGAAGCTAAGGAAGGGTGATGTCGCGGCGGAGGCTTGGTCATCCTTCCATTTTGTGCATTTTTGCTATTCTTTTGCGAAGCTCCATTGGGAACAGTTCATAGCAAGATTTACATACAGGCTTGAGGTCGAACTCGTAGAATTTGGTCCTGCACGTCGAGGGGGGAGAAACAGAACAGTTCAATTGGAGCATATGAAACACGTATCGGGCAACCGAAAAGTCATTACGAATCGGAGATTATACTGAAATCCCAAGTGTACCCAGATTTCCGAGTCCGCACATGGCCGTCGAAAGGAAAGCTCAACTATTCTCCGATAAGAGGCCGGTACCACCTGTGTTAGGTCCTGAAACCCGCATAATCACACGGCTTCATCCCCAGCGTTAGTCTCTATTGTGGAGGAAGAATTGGATGACTAAAGATAAAGACAGCAGCTACTCAATAACAGTACGTCATTTGCGGGTGCATCTCTGCATCGCGCTGAAATTCTGGAACACGAATAACACTCCATGGAAGTTCAGTAAACTCAAGTATCAAATGACCATGACCTAACACGGGCTGAAAACTTCAATGTCAAAATTGTTATCTAGTCACTCCTTTGTGATTATTGTAACCCAAACCTAACATACAAAGAATCGTTCGATCATAATACCCTACCGGGGCACAGCTGCCATGCCATCCGAAGGAAGCACGAGGGCTGGGATGCTGCCAGCTGCCCAAGCATAGACAGGAGCAGTCAAGATTCGCGCTTTAACCACAGCCTTCTCGAGTTCACGCAAACGTGGAAAAGCACCCATGCGTCAATCGGCTAAGCTGGTCACGTTCAACCGACCAACATCTGTGAGGGAGGAGCTAATCCTCCCCCATTGAATGAAGTCCGATCATCGTGGGCATGGTAAATGGTAGCTTTGCGATATTAGTTTGTCCTTGGCATCATATCCGTACGCTGTTTCCCAGGTAGCAGACAATTCTGAAGGCGGCAAATCAAGCAGCTCGATGAAAGACGGTAAATAGGAATACGATGCAGAGGAAAAGTCTCAGCAAGTGCTGGAACCTCACATTTACCGCCAATTTTGGATAGATAGTCATATGACAAACGGGCATAAATAAGAGAGAATACTTTGGATCATAAACATTTCCACAAAAAATGGATAGAAGAGCCGTTTGTTTGCACCATGAAAATAGTGGCGCGGTCAACGCCTCGACGGGGAACTAGCTCTGAATCGATTACTGACTAATCGCCCATCAGAGGGAATCCAAAAGCAACTGGCGTCGTCTTAAAGTGACCAGAGCTGAAGATAAATACGTTTGCTCATTAAGATTATCAGCTGTGGGAACCACGGACTTGTAGTGGTTATGGCTGCCGCAGTCTCATTCACCGATGATTTGGGGTGGTGGGGTAGGTAGCTGCGCATTAGAGGCGGGAGCTGGTATAATTGGTGCCTAAATACAGAATTGTTGATGGACTTTTAAGTGGGAAGATTTAAAAAGGAGTTATGCACTGAAGCCAATAGCTTGGATGCACAAGATCATCATCATCAACGACAGCATGACATCAGTGCTCAACACCAATGCTTCACTGCCGTACAGCCATGACTTATTTGAAAGCCTTCTTGTAAAGAAAAGAATAAAGGTGGATGGGGGAGGGACTTAGTGCTAGCTTAACACAATCATTCCGAGGTGCCTACACCTCCAGACATTCATTCAGGCAATCTGGACAGAAACTGACAACAAGAACGCCACTGACATCGGGTGCCAGCCATATCTTGTAGTGTCTCCAACCAGGCACAGTGAGGATCACGCGGTCCCCATCCTGGAAGAAGAAATCATGCCATCGACCGGGTCGCCTTAATCCCCGAATGCAGCAGGATGGGGAAACGAAATCAGACAGTAACTTGGTTCTGACACCATAGCCTGTTTTAGTGGCGCGCTCGCCCAGTCGTATAATAGCACTTCGTACTTTGAGGGTGAGAGACGCAATTCGAAACGCATGGTAACATCACTTAGGTTATTTGGTGTGTTTCTTATCTGAATGGAAACTGAAAGAAGTAGCGCAACATTGGCCAAATATTCAATGAATTTAAGGGCTTCCCAGGAAAGAAGGTCCAAAATTAGGGTGAAAGACAACAAAAGTTTCTCACTTAATTAATCCACTATTAGGTTATGGAGAAAAGGTGACAAACAGTAAGCCTGAAGGGCACCACTTTTGGTCATGTTGGGAGAGTATTCCCAGCAGACCTTAACGCGCCCGCAGGTATATAGTATGATGGTTGGAGGACTGTGAAGAAAATGCGTGGCACACCATTGAAAGATAGACATCCCCACAAAGCAGCGCGACCGAGCCGGACATTACGTTCAGACATGAGAACAACAATTATTGTTTTTCTGTGTGACGATGCTCCAGCAGTTGTCGTGAGGTAGAGATATGGTAAATGCAGCCACGACCCGAACGGAACTCTGCTTGGTTTTCACGGCTCTCCTCACAAAGGTGCTGGTATTCCTGCGTGGGATCATATCTGTGGGCAACTTGGAAGCGATCATGATCAAACGGGCACTCTGATAATTGGCTGATATTCAGATATAACATCTATTTTGAAGACAGGAACGACATCAAATATCTGCTATTCCTTTGGCACTTCCTGTCTTACAAATGGTGTGCACAGGTGATTTCGAGCTGAGTAATTCTCCGTCCTTAGACAAAGCGGAGAAAGACAGTAAAAACCTTATCCCTTCATCTTCTGTTACTTTTCGCTTACCCGCCCTGCTGTATGCAGCAAGTAAGGCGACCCGGCTGGTGGCACCACGCGACGGCCGATGTGGCATGAGAATATTGTTAGTTGTGTAGGTCATGGTTGTACGAGGGCTGGGAAACTGCCAGGGAGCCCACACCTAGACAGGAGGACGATTAGGGTCCTCAACCAAAGCCTTTGGCTCAAAAGCCTAACCGTAAGGCAGCGGTGTTTGGCGGGAAATGCGAATGCATTACCATTTCTACGGAAGAAGTCGCCACATGTTCCAACCCCCAACCTGGAGGGCCAGGAGACTGTGTTCGTCAGACCAACCTGGTATGAGAGACTCTGTGAGTGTCGCGGGACACTCTCCAGTATAGCTGAATGGATCGCTGAGGTGCGCAAACCGTCACACCACGGTAAGAGTCTGTCTCTTCGTGACGGATGCACAAGATCCATTGTGGGCACTACTGGGCCACGTCCAACAATGTCTCTGATCGTTGGTGTGTTCCCGGGGTCGGTAAGGTCCAGTCTCTTCGTGACGGATGCACAAGATCCATTGTGGGCACTACTGGGCCACGTCCAACAATGTCTCTGATCGTTGGTGTGTCCCGTCCCGGGGTCTCCATCCAAGCAGACGGCAGTAAGCAGGCAGCTGAGTTTGCTGTAACTGCTTTTCATACTTTGCTGTCAAGTCATTGATAACATCCTATGACTCGTTTCCAACCTTCGCGCGGTTGTGCGAAAAGAACCCATCGAAGAAGTCGGTCGACTGATACGGAGTACGTGGCCAACGTACTTTAGCATTAACGATCCGATATTCCCACCAGATTCGAGCAATGCTCCGAAGACACTGATGGTCAAACACTGACGTCCTCGGCACGCGGTGGCAAGGTTTCCGATCCGTACAGTAATATAGAGCACACCACGGCACTGTAAACTCGGCCCTTGACGGTTAAGCTGATGTCATGTCTACTTCACTAGTGACGCAGATTCACAAAAGCTGTCCTGGCCTCCCAAATCCGGATGAAAATATCATCTTTCTCGAGACCACCGGCACTGATACAGTTATTCAGGTAGATAAATTTGCCTACTACCTTAATCGGCGCAAGCATGAGGTTAAGGTTTGGACCCAGCCAGTTTTGCAGTACCATTTTACACTTTGCACGTGTGAAGTGCAGGCGAAAGTGTGAGGCAGAATTATTTAGATTATTTGATATTGTTTGCATTACCACGGGGTCAGATCCAAGAGGAGCTATATCGTCTGCGTACTCGATATCAGTGAGCAGGCGTCCCGGGAGCATCTCGAACCTACAGGTATTAGAAGCTGACAGCGTCTTACATAACCGTATCAATGACGAATGTGAAGAGGAAAGGTAAAAGAGGACGTCCCTGACTGACAGCATTTGATGTGATAAACTCGGGCGAGAAATTCCAGTAAACCTTCACACGTGCAGCGTTCTAAGAAATTTATGGAGGGGGGGGGGACACCTTTGCACCACAGACACTGCCATAGTGCCTGACGGTCCACAGAGCCAAAGGCAGCTTTCAAGTCAAGGAACACAACCCCTGTTGGCTGCTGGAAGCAGTGTCACTGTTGGAGAGTGACGATTTGATCGATGCAGGACGGAATCTAGCTTGACTATGAAACAACCGAGGGAGAGCGAATATCAAAGATCACTGCAAAGGTATGTTGTTTTTCCACGCGGTAGAGTTAAGGAATTTTCAGCAGTGACGCCTGCAAAACAAAGATTCATAGCATTCCTGGACCGAACTAGAAAATCCTGCTAAGATGAGTCGGAAAAAGTGGATCCTACTACAATCGTCGCAGAACATCTAACCTGGACAGAAAATTCCAGTAGAGTTTATCAGTCGAACCAGCGGATCGGACTCAGTAGAAAAAAGCACCGCCAAGATGTAATCAGACGTCCTCCTGGCAATGATCTATCTGGAACCTCAAGATGTGCTCAAACGTGCATAGAAATGGAAATCAACATAACCACAGCTAGTAGCGTTATGTTTTCTCCGCATGTGGACAAAATCTACACCACACCTGTATTGTGCTATGAAAAATTTAAATGATCAGCTACTTTATGCCTAGGCAGCTAAAGCGCCCTGAATGGCGGTGGCTACGGACATTCAAGACAGATGTGAATTGCTCGGGGCCACGATGAGTTTATGATTTCTGCTACAGGGGACTGAAATAGATCTCCACAGGTGAAGATTGCGGCCAGGGCATCTTTGAGGCTCACACACTCTGCTGTAGAGTGTAGTCGCGATAAGTCACTGAAACACCATACAGGATGAAAAGCCAGGAAGTTGCGTTGCCTTTGTTTGGTCGCTTTCACACGAAGAACTGTGTATTTTTCACATCCAAGTGGAATCGTCATTATGCAGGTTCAAGTGATCCGAAACTGTGCTTTAAGGGTAATCAATTCAACAAGGACGAACGACATAAGCTGACGGAGGCCCTATCTTTTGACCGTCTGCAATATCGCAATTCCAATCACAGATGTGGTCGGATGATGCAAAGCTCAGCCACACAAGTCTCTCATACTCAACGACGCTCGTCAGAGTGCTTCGGTACGCGACTTTGCGTAAGAGTTTCGGGATGGTGAGTACGCCAGTCGGTTTACACTCCTGATGAACTGGTTTGTAACCAGCTGCTCACTTGTTCGCGAAATCAGCCGACTACTGTGA